TTAAACCCCCCTTTACCTCCTTTCTGCCTGCTCCCCATGAGTGCAGCCCAGATGTTGAGCCCAGGGTCTTCTCCCTAAAGAGAATCATGAAGGGAATGGCTGCCCTCTCTGATAGCTCTTTGCTCTTGACTACACTTTTTTGAGGACCTGATGCACTTACTTTTATAGTCTGTGAGATACCGTCATATCTCTGCAATACAGTCTGTTTCAGATTGATTCTGTCAGCTGTGCAGGTGAGAGCCCCTAAACCACAAAGAAGCCCAACCTCCTCTTTTCTCCCCATGAGGATGGAGCCCCAGCTGGGGTGATCGGTTTCTTAAGGAAGCCCTAGAAGTTATGGTCTCCCTGTGAAGGACTGGGTGCCCAGAGCTGGCTCTATCTGTTCTCCACAAGCTCCAGCCCTGGTCAGGCATTGCATGGGTAAAATAACTTTGTCTACCCAAATCCTTAAGGCTCCCTGAGCTCCTGAGTTCTGAAAAGCCCTTGTCCAGAGCACAGGCTTGTGGGGAAGGTGTATAAACCAGGGAATAAGCATGAAGGAGTTGGCATGGGCGGGAGAGGGCAGGGACGCTCTGAGGTGTTTCCACTGCGGCGTACACCTCCATGTCAGCAAGCCGCTGGCTGGGCCGTTCATACCACAAGGCCCTGGGAGTGGGTCTTGGTCTTGACAGCAGACATGTCACTACCAATGCCAGGGCCTTGCCTCAGTGACAGCAGCTGTCAGGGGCTGGGCAGGAAGACAGACAGGGACCCGTCAGCACACAGTTGGATGCTTCACACCTTCCTCAACCACCTCCACCGCCACCTGAGTGGCACAGCCCTGAAGCCGATGTGAAAATAGGAAAGCTTGATGGTTGGGAGGCAGGCTCTGAAGTTCCACACTGGCTTGGGCGAGGTAAACTTTCAGTGCCTGTGTTTTCTTATCCATAAAGAAGGAATGAGCCCTGACCAGTTTGGCTCAGTGGATAGAGCATCAGCCGGAGGACTGAAGGGTCCCAGGTTCAATTCCAGTCAAGGGCATGTACCTTCGTTGTGGGCACATCCCCAGTAGGAGATGTGCAGGAGACAGCTGATCGATGTTTCTCTCTCATCGATGTTTCTAACTCTCTATCCCTCTCCCTTCCTCTCTGAAAAAAATCAATAAAAATATTTTAAAAAAGAAGAAGAAGAAGGAATGAAATCGGTACCCATGCCCTTAGGGTTAACATGAGAATAAATAAGCTCATCTTTGTATCTGGCACATGGTGAGCATGACAGAAGTGTTAGCTCTGATCTTAGGGGAGCTGAGGGAGAGATGAGCCCTAGGACCACGAAATCCTCCTCAGCACCATCCCATCCCCAGCCCAGGACTGGCAGGTGGTGGAGCTGGGAGGCCTGTGGGAGAAGGGAGAGACACTGGCTGTAGGAATGGGTTGATTGTGGGTTCCTGGAACCTGAGGACTCCTTCATGGCACCATAAATGCAAGTGGCACCTAACCAGGCTGTGGCATGTAGCAGGCTGCTCAAGGAAATGCCAGTTAGAAAAGACAAGCACTAAGTTTCTGCTCTGCCCAGCCCCTTTGGGGCGGGAACTGCAGAGGCAGGAAGAACCCCAGCTGCCCTTGTAACAGGAAGTGGTTCAGTCACTCAGAGCGGGGAAGCAGAATCAGTTCAGTGGTTTAGGTGGCCTGGAGATTGACCCTTCTCCTCACCCCCAGACCCCTCTCTACCACAAACCCTATTCCCAGAAGTCACTCCATCTGTGTGAACTCGAAACTTCCAGAAGCCCCTGGCAACTTCCAGTTTGATGTCTGGCAGCAAGTTATGGTGAGTGGAGAATGAGACACAGGATGCCCCGTGGACTCATCTGGGCCTGCCGTTGTGCCGGTACTGAGGCCAAGGGACAGTGGGGCTCACGGGGGAGGCTGGGGATTGTACTGACCCTATTGAGTCACGGGGGGCCGTGGAGCAGAGCGGTTGTGGGAAGCAGCAGGGACTTGGGACCAATACCAGCTGGTGAAGAGGCCCCTTCTCCCAGGCAGAAAGGTGCCCCAGCCCCCCGGGTGCCCATCGAGGACTTGAAGAACCCGAAGTTCATCGGCCAAGGCGGGTTTGGCACAGTGTTCCAGGCACAACACCTGACATGGGGTTACAATGTGGCAGTCAAGATCGTTGACGCGTGAGTGTCCCAGCTGCTGGTTGACTAGCCAGGGTCTTGCTGAGGCAGCAGCTGCTGTCCTGGGGGGGCCTGAATGGGGAAGGGAGGGATCTGCCCAGCAGAGCAAGACTCCAACTCTCTCCTGGATATAGGAAGATGATATCCAGGGAAGTGAAGGCCATGGCAAGTCTGCGTCACCCCAATGTGCTGACCCTGCTGGGGATCACTGAGAAGCTGGAGTGGGACCATGTGTTGGGACCGGGTCTGGTGACTCAATTCATGGAGAACGGTTCCCTGGCAGGGTTGCTACAACCCGAATGCCCTCGGCCCTGGCCACTTACCTGCCGCCTGCTGCAGGAGTTGGTGCTTGGGATGTGTTACCTGCACAGCCAGAACCCCGTGCTTCTGCACCGGGACCTGAAGCCCTCCAACGTCCTGCTGGACCCAGACCTGCATGCCAAGGTCAGCCTGTCCGCATCCCAGCCCAGCCTCTAGATAGGTTGTGCCCTAGAGCCGCTCCAGTTCCACCAACTGAAAAAGCATCTGCTGCAGCTCTGTCTACTGAATACCCTCAGCATCTCCCTCTGGACACAGGGCTGCCCAAGTGTCAAGGCCTATCCAGAAGCTTTAGCTACTGCCACACAGAGTGATAGAGGCCCTGACCAACAAAGCCACTTCCACCTGCCCACCCACTAGGCTCTCCAAAGACCCATGGCTGGCAGCCCAGGAGACTCAGACTTTGACCCACCCTCAGCGGGGACACAGACCTTCAAACCAAGGCCCAATTGGTCCTACTGTTTTCCTACCCCTCCTCACCCCCTTTACAAGGCTGGACCTGTACCTTGGGTGGGGGTGGGCATGGGGGAAAGAAGAGGATTCTGGAGCTGCCTGGCATTATCCATCCCCTACTTCCTCCTCCTTCCCTTCCTTTGCAGCTGGCAGATTTTGGCCTGTCCACATTTCTGGGAGGCTCACAGTCAGGGGCAGGGTCTGGGGTGTCAGGGGGCACCCCAGCCTACTTGGCCCCAGAACTATTGGCTGATGTAAACCAGAAAGCTACTATGGCCAGTGATGTCTACAGGTAAGACACCCATGCCGAACACACATCCCCAATTTTTACACCTCTCTGGGCCCTTCTAGGGGAAGGTGTATGAAAGAGAGGGTA